AGATATATAGTTGCATTCTCTTAATGAATAGAATGATTTGTTCTAATGGTGTTTGTAAATAGGATCACAAGTCCACTTCTTGTACAGCAATTAACCACTTAGAAGAATATATACAGTGTGTTATTTGTTGAAACTGTACTTCCGATTGGATTTGAAACTCTCTCATTGCTGTTTATCAATAAAACTTTGAAAAAAATAAAAAAAATAAAAATAAAATAAATAAAAAATAAAAGAAACATTGTTGGTTTTCTTTCTTCTCTAGAGCAATAGGAAAATTAGCTTGGAAATGAAGAAATTAATTAATCCTTAATTCTTGTATCTTTTTATGAGAGAAAATACCAAGAATTTGGTTTGTTAGAATGAAAAGGTGATAAAAGTGAGATAACTATAAAGAAATTAAATGCCATTGAAGAGGTTAATCTGATAGTTGTATGAAGAAAAATATTTATAAATTAGAAGCTCTAGTTAAGTAGACATACAAATTTTCTCAGAGTAAAACTTCCCCTTTTTTGAAAGAAACTTAATCTTTTTGATAGAGTCACTGAAAGCCTGTTTCACTTGCTTGTTCCTCAAAGTGTAAATGAATGGATTTAACAAGGGTGCAACAGATGTTGTTAGAATTGAAACTCCTTTATTTATGGCCACCTCTTTCTTTGCTGATGGCTTGATGTAGATGAAGATGCAGCTGCCATAGGTCATGGACACCACAATCATGTGGGAGGAGCAAGTGGAAAAAGCCTTCTTCCTTTGCTGCACAGAGGGAAATCTCACTATTGTCCTGATGATGTATGCATAGGACAGAATGACACAGAACAATGTAATAATTAGTGCAAATACTGCCACAATTATAATCATCTGTTCAATTACCCATGTGTCTGAGCATGAGATCTTTAAGAGAGGACTTGCATCACAGCTAAAATGATCAATGGCATTGGAGTCACAGAATTCCAGCTGGAGGCCCAAGCTCAGAGGGGGGACTATAATCATCAAGCCAGACACCCAGCAAGAGAAAACTAATAATGTACACACTCTGTTGTTCATGATGGTCATATAGTGAAGAGGTTTACATATGGCCATGCAGCGATCATAGGACATGGCTGCCAAAAGAAAAAACTCAGTTGCTCCAAAGAGAATAACAAAAAATATTTGACATGCACAAGCATTGTATGTGATGATGTTATCTCCAGTTGATAAGCTGTACAGAAATCTGGGAATACATACAGTGGTAAATGAAACTTCTAATATGGAAAAATTTCTGAGGAAAAAGTACATAGGAATTTTAAGGTGGGGATCCACAATTGTAAGGATTATAATAGTCAAATTTCCAGTTACACTCAACACGTAAGTGAAAAACAGAAAGATAAAGATCAGAACTTGCAGTTGTGGGTCATCAGTCAGTCCCAGCAAAATGAAAGTTGTTATTGCTGTGTGATTTCTCATCACTGACATTTGATGTTTAAAGAATGCTCTAAATAAAAGTTAAAATCAGTTTACATTTTTCCACTTTTTCTTTGGGATCAGTATATCCACTATTTCAATAACCTTCATGAATTGAAAACAGCATGAGAAGTGGAGAATTCCTTCAATCTTCTAGTTACAGTAAAATAATCCAGGTTTTAAAAAATAAGTTTTTGACAGACCTGGGGATCAATGGAACAGATTAGAGAAATACACACACAATTACAAACACACTCAGTCACCTTATCTTTGACAAAGAGGCCAAACAAGTTCACTGGAAGAAAGATAGCCTCTTTAATAAGTGTTGCCGGAAAAATTGGAATTAAAAAAAAAAACCTATGACCATATCTATTACCATGCACTAAAATAAAGTCAAAATGGATCAAATAACTAAATATTAAAAACAGAAATACTGAATCTACTTCAAGGGAAATTAGGTAGAAATCTTGAAGACACATGAACAAAACCCAAACTTCATGGGAAATATTTCAAGGAATCAACAACATGGATCTCATTTTATTGCATAACTTTTACACATCAAAAGAAATAACCAACAGAGTGAAAAGAAAACCCATGCATTGGGAAAAAAATTAGCCAACTGTCATATATGTAAAGGACTTCTATCTAGAACATACAAGGAATTTTTAAAAATCAGGCACATAAAGTTCAAAGACCCAATCCAAACATGAGCATTTGAGATGAATTCACACTTCTCACATGAAGAAATACAACTGGCAGATAAATACATGAAACAATGCTCAGCAGAATTTGTCATTTGAGAAATGCTTATTAAAAGAACACTGATATTCCATCTCACCCTTGAAAGAATGGCTATCATCAAGAAATCAAGCAATAACAAATAGCTGTCATCAAGAAATCAAGCAATAACAAATTGGAGTGTCTGTAGGGAAAAGAACCCTTCACCAATACTAGTAGGAATATGGACTGGTGGAGATTCATTAAAAACTAGAATTATAGCCCCTTTGTGTCCTATGTGACCCAACTATTCCACCTCTGGGTATTTTTTTCGCAAGACTTTCTGTTCCTTGTATTGTATGCCGGCTACTCACCCAAAGGTGTAGTGTAACACTTGCACCGTTAATCCTAGCCAGAACTGTGCCAGACAAATCAATAGAATGATTTAATAATCACGTATCCTTAATCCCAGAATCACATATACTAGGTTCAGTCTCCTCTGTAAAACCTGATCCCTCATGAAGCTTTTGGGAGACATCTAGACACAATGTATAACACGTCCATATTCTCTATGGGTGCTTATGCTTAGTCCAATTATTTTTAATTTGTAAAATGTGCCCTAAGGACAGGTTCTACTCCCTGTAAGCATATATTGATAATCATACAGGTTATTTCTTGGTAACTTAAGGGTTTGTTGATCCAATATTTACCTCTTCTGGTGCTATTTCTAGGTATAGATATTTTTGAGTGACCTATAAGGCTCTTTATGGAAAGTGACTTATTCAGTTTTTCTGTTTCTGCACATGTTCAGTGTTTCTCTCTCTCTCTCTCTCTCTCTCTCTCTCTCTCTCTCTCTCTCT